TCTTGTCCTATACGAATTCTAAAGTATATAAAACACCAAATATCTTGGCCACTATCAGAAATAATGAATATATCTATCGAAAAGGGAGTGTTTCCTTCAAAATTTAAACATGCTAAAGTTATTCCTATATTTAAAGATGATGATGAAACTGATCCGGGAAACTATAGACCAATCTCATTGCTTTCAAATTTGAATCAAATTTTTGAAAAATTAATGTCTAAACGTCTCAAAACGTTTTTCGATAAAAACAAAACTTTATATGATAAGCAATATGGCTTCCGAGCTAAACACTCAACACAGCATGCCAATATTGCTATTATAAATAATATTCATAACAATATGGACAAGGGTCTATTTTCGTGTGGCATATTTATAGATCTAAAAAAAGCCTTTGATACCGTTGATCATTCTATACTTTTACATAAATTACATCATGGCATCCGTGGAGTGATCATGCAACAACTGGTTTAGATCTTACCTGACAGAATACAGACAACCCAAATTGGTGGTTATACATATCATCAAAACATACAGTTAACTTGGGTGTTCCACAAGGTTCAGTCCTTGGGCCTTTACTCTTCTTAATGATATTTACAAATCATCTGAGGTATTTAAATTTTACTTGTTTGCTGATGATACGAATTTGGTATATACTCTGATAAAAAATTAAAATCTCTCGAAACGATCATCAATAGGGAATTGATAGGAGTTTGTGAATAGCTAAACACAAATAAGTTAACCCTCAACTTAAAGAAATCAAACTATGTTATCTTTCATTCTCACCAAAAAATGCTCGATTATCAAGTTCAACTAAAAAAGTTTGACAATCATTCCAATAACTTGATTAATATTGAATGTAAAGAATTTATAAAATATTTAGATGTTATAGTAGATGGTAATCTCACATGGAAATACCACATTGACAACATTGCATCTAAAATAAGTAAAACAATTGGCATAATTACAAGGCTTAGATACTTTGTACCTCTGTCTACTTTACAAAACATTTATCGATGTTTAATCTTACCTTATATAACATATGGTATACATGTAGCTGTTTGGGGTCAAGCGGCAAAAAATATTTGATTAAGATACTTATTCTCCAAAAACGAGCAATACGTCTAATGAATTTTAAAACAAACAAGGAACACGTTATCCCACTTTTTATTCATTCCAATATACGTCCTTTAAATATGCTTTACATTAAAACAATTTGCAATCTAATGTATGACGTCTCAAATAGCTCTTGCCATCTTCAATCTCCGATTGTTTTATCCAATCGAAAGAAGTTCATACTTATAACACTAGACATTGTGTATCTAATAACTTCTATGTTGAATACTCAAAACTAACTACAACTATCACATCCTTTGTAAAATCAGGTGTTAAAATTTGGAATAGTATTCCCACTGATGTTCGAGAGAGAAAAAATTTCAATTTGAAAATTCAGAAAAGTCTTTTAACCATGTTTGAGATTGAGGACGATTATGCTGATGTGCCCACATTAATTAGATATATGAGTAAGCATGGAAAATAGTGCTTCCTTCGAAATTAATTGGAAATTAATGCTTCTTTGTGAAAATGATGCTTTGTGCTGTCAGTATATTGTGCTACTTTATGTATTGTAACCGAGCATATCTTATTTAATTTCATTCTACTATCCGCCTCGATTAGCTTTGCTATTAGCGGATAGTACTGTATATACAGATTGTTTATATATTTATTAATAAAATTTGATTTGATTTGATTTTTAACGATCATCAGAATGCGATTCGAACAATGATTAAAGAAAAATGAGATGTGTTTGTCAACCCGCCTACTACAGGCTTCGGTAAATATGTGATGTGATCGCCTGTTCCACGAATGCTAGGCAGAGTGGCAGTTTATGGAACACCAGAGGCATTGTTCTTAAATAATTGACTATTTAACTGCGTTATTTATGTTTCGGTAATTCGGTACCACCAGCTTAATAATTTACCAGATTTCTTTAAAAATTATTTTGTAACAAACAACCAAATTCATGAACATAAGTCATAACATGAGAAATGCTTCAAAACTTCACGAATGGTATAAAAGGACAAATTAATATTAATTATCTGAAACTCACTCTGTCAAATAAAAGAGTTGATGTATGGAATTCGTTAGAAACAAAATTTAATGAAATAAACTCCTATAACATCTTCAAAAAGCAAATTAAACAACATTTTTGCTATACACAATTGACAATTACCGTAAGATGTGCGATAAAACATACTTTTTCTTCGTACCTTCTCCGACTGATACTCGCAATACTGGTGCAGATCCGCGGCCAGCAGAGGTCTGGAACCCACAAATTTTTTGACACTAACCATCCTCTTATTGAATTGACTGCTGAGGTTTGAACTCAAAGAAAATCAAAGCGAAGAAAATCGCACAATGCTTTATAAATATTAATCATCTTGAAGTATTTTCAACATAAATGGATGCTAACCAGGTGAGCGAACACTTCTCTTGTTGTACTGTGAATAGTTTCATCATTTAAGCACAAAAATATTTGATTTTTGGTTGTTGACACAAGTCAAATATTATCGACACGTTTAATTTAAGAAAAGACAAATTTGAACGAATTATTTTGTATTTGCAAATACTTAAGAGTATACCTTATAAAGTGTTATTATCCTTCAACTTATGGATAAACAACTGTATTGTTGTTCCAATAAACTATTGACATTTGGCGCATTTAATTATGAGCAATCTAGTGTTCTTATATTCTAGCCTGCCGGTTTTAGAAAAGCCTCAATAAAGGTTTAATTCGAAATATCTGTGCAGAGTACCAACTCGGACCGACCATTAGCTTTCAGTTAAAATACGCCCAACTGACTTACCATACACAGTCTAATTGACTGTTCCATCCTGCAGGTACAAGCCTCGCAGGAGGTGGCGACAGCTGTCCAGGGTACCAGCTCGGACAGAACATCACTTACTGATTAAATTCGCACCTTGGTCGCTGATCAGGTTGCTAGTTCAATTCAGAACGCCTTGCCAAGGCTTTTTCAAGAAGCATTTGCAGGTGCTGCTTCACCACAGCTGCCAAACCCTGCACAGGGGTTAGTGAATGAAGGTGAACCACAACCTGAAACATCTCATTTAAACAGGTCGGCTTGCCAAGTATTATACTGAGACTAAGGAAACTGTTTTATCTGAAGAAGTTGCAACGTACCTTCTTGAGCACAGCTTTCACCAAGCGTCTTTCAAAAGACGTTTGGTCAGATCTTATGAAAAAGTATCCTCCAATAAAAGGGATGAAGGAGGTGCTTGTTGCTCCTACAATGGAAACAGGTACAAGAGAATACATCAAACAAAAGTTTGGTTATCACAAGACCAAAGAGGTTTTCACATCAGATGATGGCCTCGTTGAGAAGCAAGCCCCTTTCCTGGCTGTTGCACGACCTATTGCTGCATCGTTAGACCTCCTTGAAGGCCCCCTAAGTCCTGACGAGAGCGAAGATGATATTAATGGCCCGCACCCAGATGAAATAAAGGCATACTTAGAAGATGCCCTTGTCCTACTGGTAATGCCAACTTTCGATTAAATGCATGGCGCCAAAAGCGTTTTGGAGAATTTCTAACTGATATTGGCAAGCGAATTTTAAAAGATGATATCCCAACAGATAAACATCTCTTCCCTGACAAATTTCGCCAAGTCGTTCAGAGCGAACATGATCATTCGCAGACAAATTCCAAAGTCATTGGAGCTCCCTCCAAACCACAATTCCGCAAAGCTACACCAACACAGCCCTTTCGTGCCTTCTCTGGTCCCAGTGCTGGTACTAGTGGTCCACGTCCAAAAAGCAGATTTCAGTAGCTTGTCGTCAAGAAAAAACACCTTCCCTAAGCGACCAAGGGCTTCCAATGAGCCAAGCAACCCCAACAACAACTGACTATATGATCCCTCGACTAAACAAGATAACTTTACCAGAACAGCAGACAGCAGATCGACTGAAACATTTTATAGAAAATTGGAAGATAATAACTTCAGACGAATCAGTCTTAGAGACAGTGAGGGGATATCGAATTCCCCTGATTTCGAAAACTCATCAATGGCGCAAACGAGTGACCAAGGCTAGATCCTTGGAACAACAATTGTTACTATCCCAGGCCATATCGGATCTGGTTTCGAAGGGAGCAGTACATCAGGTTGTAGAACAGGAGGACCAGTTCCTTTCAACCTTGTTCATAGTACAGCAGGTGAAAAAGAACCGACCAGTTTTCAACCTGAAGACATTGAACAAATATATCCACGCAGAAAAGTTCAAACTAGAAAGTATGGACCTAGTAAAAACACTGTTGAAACCGAACGACTTTCTAATGAAACTGGACCTGAAGGATGTTTATTACTCTGTACCAGTAGCAGTGGAACACAGGAAGTACCTTCAATTTCATTTTCAAGATGGGACCTACGAGTTCCAGTGTTTACCCTTCGCTCTATCATCAGCACCCCGAGCCTTCACGAAACTGGTCAAGCCAGTTATTGCAATTCTGAGAATATCTGGCATACGAGTAGTGATATATTTGGACGACCTACTGCTCTTCCACCGGGATCCAATAGAGTTACAGACAATCTTCAAGATTGTAATCACCCTACTCACCGACGTCGGGTTTATCATCAAACTCGAGAAGTGCTCACCATCACCCACGCAAGCAATCATCTTTCTGGGGGCCCAGCTGAACTCGACGGACATGACAATAGCTGTTCCTCTGGAGAAACTTTGCCTCATACAGTCGGAGTGCAAAGAGATCCTGACCAGGGAGTGGTGCTCCATGCTGGAACTTTCAGCATTGCTGGGTCGAATGAATCAGACTGCCCGAATTGGAATTCGGGAAGCACCTTTGCATTATCGAACCCTTCAACGGATGCTCATTGCGGCTATACACAGGAAAGGTCACTTCACACGATCAAAGCGGTTCCAGATTCCTCTAACGAAGGAAGCATCCTCAGAACTCAAGTGGTGGTCTTCGGAGCAACTAAATCAAATCAACCGGATGGTGTTGAACCCTTCACCAATTGACATGATAATATCGACAGACGCCTCCAAGAAAGGTTGGGGGGGCGAGTTTTCTGGGCCAAAGGACGGGTGGTCAATGGCGGAAGGAAGAAGATGCCCACATCAATGTGTTGGATTGAGGGCAGCTCACCTTGCCATTCAGGCATTTGTCAAGGGCACCATGCATCAGGCCCCCCACTCGGTGGGGCAGTATCCCCCAGTGCCCCCCCCCCCCACTCGGAAATAAAAAATGAAATTATGCCCCCCCCTTACGTTTTGCAGAACTAATAGCTGTTAATGTTGGGTTTTTTAAGTACCGAAATTTGGTCTGGAAAATTGAGATAAAGGACCTGGAAACCAATTGCAATTATGGGACATGATTGCCATAGTTTTCAGCCCTCCTGGAGCTACTAGTGGATTTTCCAGCTCAGTTACCGATAGCGGAGGGAACAATCTTCTTACCGTTCGAACAACAAGCAATACATCCAATGTGGAAAACCCTCCGACTAGCTGTATGGTCGCTGTCAGGTCTCGTCTGCAAACAACAGGCCTTTCACCAGAGGTGTGCAAAATTTTGTTGGCCTCCTGGCGAACAAGCACTCAGAAGAGATACGAAGGACCTTGGCAACAGTGGGCTAGCTGGTGTCTGGAAAGGAATAAATGTCCCTTTTCAGCTCCTGTGGCAGATGTTTTAGATTTTCTATCTGGACAGTTTAACAACCGCAATCTCGCTTACAGAACAGTGGGTGTATACAAAGCATGTATCTCACAGATGCATGATCCAATTGATGGCTTGCAGCTTGGTAGCCTACTCCTGGTATCACGCTTCATGAAAGGTATCTTCCAACTACGACCCGCAACTCCTCGAATTTGTACGACTTGGCAAGTGGGTCCTGTACTGAGATATTTGTCGTCCCTACAACCTGTGGAACAACTTTCCCTGAAAGTTCTGAGTTTGAAGCTAACCACTCTACTGGCATTGACCTGAACTGCAAGGGCTCATGAAATTGCGGCCCTTCACCTCGATTATCTTTCAAAGAAAGTCGACAGTTCACTGTTGTGAGTTCATTATTCACACTCACGTAAAAAATTCGAGGCCATATCATCCTCCTCGGAAGATATTCCTGGGACGTTATCAACAAGATTTCTCCATTTGTGTTGTGAGGTGTTTGGAACATTATCTCCAACGCACCAGTAGCCACAGACGGTACAAGGAACTTTTACTGTCATAGGTCAATCCATACAAACCTGTAGGAAGTCAAACCGTATCAAGATGGATATGCACATTGATTCGGTTAGCTGGAGTGGATGTCTGCTACACAGGACATTCTACCAGAGCTGCGTCAACTTCGGAAGCGGTCGACAACGGAGTGCCTCTAGAAGTCGTTTTGGAAGCTGCAGACTGGTCCTCAGCACAAACATTTGAGAAACATTACCACAAAAGAGCTGATAAAGCTCGATTTGCTCACAAGGTACTTGAGGCTGTTAACAATTAAGTTACTTGTTATGGACAATCAAGGTATTATATAAAACTTGTATTCTTACAGTGGTAACATGCACTGTGATTTATATTGTTGGGTTAAATATAACTGTTTACTTTGAGTGCTTCAATAGTGATGACAACATGATTTACATAGCTATCTTTGTATATCTGCACCAGTATTGCGAGTATCAGTCGGAGAAGGTACGAAGGAGAAATAAAATTTCCCCGGAGGGTAAGGTACTTACCTGAAGGGGAGATGTAGTTCTCCGAGGACCTTCGAAGACTGATAGGAGCAATACTGGTGCAGATATATGGTCCGCCGCTTATTGAATAATATATGGTCCGCCCCTTATTGAATAATATATAAAATCAAAACGCGGAAGTGAAAGTCAGATTTTCGTACTTCTGTGTTTGAAATGGACTTATAAAAGTTAAATCTATATTTCTGATATGGAACAACCGTATAAAAAATGAACCTATACGATAAATGCTGTATGAAGGTGATTGTATTCACTTGTTCAGACCGGGTTTGAATCATTTGAACCTTCGCCAGTTTTGGGTCGACGAATGAACATTATATTGTTGGTAAGTGAACAATATATCATGTTTAGTTCTTGTTACTATTAACTTTGTTACTATTAATACAAAAAACATTTCTATCCTACACTGTGCTTCTGTCTGCTGAAGCGAGTTATCTGGCTACACTGACTGTGACAGTCATTTTGTCTACGGCTCTTGGGCTCTGTAGTCTGCACAGTGATCTAGCTATGTACAGTTGTTGTTATGTGGTGATCTGGCTATGTACAGCAGTCATTTGTGTACGAGTGGAGGTAATACTCACTTATGCAATCATCTGACTGTGCAGTCGTGTTGTCAGAGAGTATGTACAATCCAGAGTCTGATTTACAATTGCAATGCTGACGCCATGTTCCTAGCCAGTGCGCTAAGGTTTGAGAGGCTGTCACCCTAAAAATATTCAAAATTGCCAGCTTGTCTTGTCCACTTGGAGTGTGTGCAGGAATCGAACCTGCGACCCAGCGATTCCACCACAGCACTCTGGACAGCCAACTGAGTTATGGAGTCCAGTTGTTGAGCTCTAAAGTTCTGCAAGTTTCTAATATATGCTCTATATAATACTATGGTGATGCCGATGTAAGGTTGTATGGGTAAATATCAGGATTCTGGGCATCTACACACTACACTCAATAGAACTAACTGTTGAAGGGTTTTGTAGTTTTCTATATCTATCTTCTGACTTCAATTCTGCCAGAAGGCCTATAGTTGCATTTTTTAATTGCTTCTGGTTAGATCTAATAAATGTATAAAATTCAGTCTCCAAATTTCCATCTCATGATCTACAAAACCATTCAACAACCTAGCTATACAGCCAGACTTTGCATGCAGTTATCTGGCTATGCAATCAACTAGCAGTGTAGTCAGCATGACTATGTAATCATGTGGTTATATACAGTCAGGTAGTCCGTAATCATATGGCTATGCAGTGATCTGGCTATGCAGTCATCTACGTTTTTATTATTTTACGTCGATCACAACGATCAGCGGATAGTGTGCAAGTAGGCGTACTTCATTTAGGACAAACATAAAGCGATGCATGATAAACGATACGAAGACTCCGGGCCCCGGGTATTTTGCCCCACCTGCCCCCCCCCCTCTCGCTGGCCTTGGATTCACAACCTGAAAAATGCGAACAGAACTGTGACATTTCAGGCAAAGGGCTTCCCAATGAAGGGCCTTTTCCAATGCAGGGCCTTTTCCAAAGAAGGGCCTTTGCTCAAAACATCGAAAATCTGTTTGTATTAATAATACAATTTGTATATTAAGATATTTCTCAAATATCGACTATATAGAGGTGTTTGTTGTCTTTTAATATTTTCCAGTAAAATAATAGTGAAAATAGGTATGACATGAGCTTTATTTCAGAACCATCCACAGAGATATGAAAATTGAACTAGTTTATATTATTCTAGAACGATATTGAGCTATATGTTGCATTGAAATATGGCCTGCCTATAAATTTAATGGTGTCATTATGGTCCACATACTCCATGGTTACATGTGACGATAGATTCCATTCAATTTCTTAACAATTTTTTGGGCTACTTATGCTAACGGAGGGATACTTGGTCTAATTCTTTGTTTGCAATCACGTGACTTTTCATCCAAGTGACGGGCAATCAAACAACTTGTGGACGATTTTTCTCCTATCACAATGGCTGTAGCAAGAAATTAAAACTGAACGGTAAATCAATCTTTTGAGTCTTAACCTGTCTCTAAACTCGATCAATACATTAAAATAGCCGTTT